TTTTATTAACAATAGTCATAACACTATAGCCATAATCTGCGTTAATCATTGCAACATAAGGTTTGTCTGATGTTATTTCTCTTTCTTTCATATAACAACCCTTTGAAATGAAATACAATTATATACCAAATGTAAAATACAATTTATGCACAACAAACGCACTGCACTTCCCGATATGATATGTACGGGTGCTTTGGGATTCGTATAGGGATCAGATTCTGTGCCATTATATACGGTATTGTTATATATGGGCCAAAGTCTGGCGTAAATGTGTTCGTGAGCCCAGAATTCAACGTCCACTCCATGTTTATAGAAAAGATCTTCCAAACCATACAATCGACTCCCGTTTGACACAACGCCTAATCTAATCTGATTGTTAAACAATCTAGTTATTAATGAACTAAAATTAAGCTTAATTTTCTAACTTACTGTTTCATCGACGTCATGTAGTGAATATGGTGGTCTGTGACCCATAGTTATAATCCATGGATATTTGTCCCTGTTTTCTGGTTTATTAGCTTCGGTTAAATCTTTCTCGAGCCAATTATAATGGTATCTCAATTGATCATGGCCAGTTTCAATCCTATATTTACTATAATAGTAAAATTCAGTCGAAAATGAGATGATATGAGCGGATCCTATATTATAACTCCAGTAGTGGTTATTTGACACGGAATCGCCTTCAGATATAAGTGAAAATCTATTGTCATAATTGGAAAAATTGCTAAAAATATACTAAATTAATGTTTATTTAGCAAGATTTCAAATGTTTCCGTACTAATAGTATTCATGATTTCCAGGACAGGCCTGATAGGGCACATACGCGGCCATTGGCTCTATTTGCCTAAAAAATTCATCGCCAACTCTAGCATTATCCTGGTTTTCATAGTACAAATAATAGTTTTAGTTTGAGGGTAAAAATAAGTTATAAAATATAATTATTGCTAATTAGACTCACATCATGTAAATCGTACGCAAAATCACCTGAAAATAGATTATTAATCAAATTTGTCTTAAAGTGAACAAAATGTGTTTTAATGGGTGTTGAGACGAACCTAAATGCATAATCATGTCATACACTCCTTGTTGTGCTTCTTCTTGAAGTGGTCCCAAACTTTCTGCCAAAACATTACCCAAATCGCCATAAATGGCAATCTTAGGACTCCAGTCAATCCCTTCATTCAATGTCTTGAACATATACACTGCACTCCAACCCTCTCTACTTCCGCAATGATATTCTGGTTATTTCA